CAAGGTCCCCGCCTCTCCTACCCCCACCACCTCCACTCCCGCAGACGCCGTGCTGCCCCCGCCGCGGCCCACACCGCTACCGCCTCACATCGAGGCGCTGCGCGCACACGCGGCGCAGAAGGAGTGGGAGCGCGCGGAGAAGGAGCGCGCCCTCGAGCTCGTGGGCGCGCAGCCGGTCCCCCGCGCGCGCGCGCCCGAGCCCGCGGGGACGTGCGTCGCCTCTGGCGTACAGGTGCAGCGCAAGGTCGAGGTGGTCGACGGCGCGCGCGTGTGCACTGGTCGCGCGTGTGGGCACATCATCCCCGCGGAGGCGGAGTATGTGGGGTCGCTTTGCGCGGTGTGTCGGGGGCGCGAGCGGCGGAAGGCCGTGCGCGAGCTGGCGAAGGATGGGAAGGATGCAGGGAAGGAGAAGGTAAAGGAGAAGGAGGCGGAGGCGGAGGTGGAGGATTTCCCCCTGGTGAGTATTTCCTTGGTGTATCGTGTCGCGCGCGCCTGACAAGCGAGTGTGTTGCGTAGGCGCCCATGCAGCGGCCTGGGCGGTGTATATATGCGGACTGTGGGACACTCATGCCGGTGGACTCCTCGGAGGTGTCCGTCGCAGAGTGTGAGCAATGCCTGCGTCGTAAGATGATTCAGCGCAGACCGCCGGGCAGGCCGCCCGGTAGTCGAAACAAGTCCAAGTACTCTACCGCTGTAACGCCAGCGGCGAAGCCCTTGGCTACGCAGAAGCTGCAGCCAAAGACGACTGCGACAGACAAGGTGCCGTTCCGTCGTTTTGCCCCCCCGTTTTGCGAGCTTGACTGACGGTTCACAGCCGGTTGAAGCGCCACGGAAGCGCAAGCGGGTGTCGCCGTACCCCGCGTACCAGTGCCGTGACGCGCTGCTCAAGGACTTTGGCACGCGCTTCCACGGCTTTATCGAGGCGCAGTCGTACTACTTCCTCATGCGCAGTGGGACGGCGGAAGCCGCGCAGCCCCCCGCGCAGGCGATGTTCGACTTCAGCGGGGAGTACTCCGTCGTTGCCCGAGATCTCGACGTTATCGCGCGCAAGGCGGAGGTGGAGATCGGTGTGCACAGCGTCAAGGATGCCGTGGCACGCGCGGGCGGGCTCGAGTTCAGCCCAACCAGTTGGGTGAGCATTCTCGGGAGCCCCGGTGGGGTCGTAACGCGCTTCGCGTGCGTGCACCTCGTTAACGTGTACCTCCCCATCCGCGTCCCGCCGGGGCACCCGCCCAACCCCGCGCGCCCTAAGAGCATGCAGGGCGAGCTCGAGATCGCCGTCCTCCCGGACGACTCGCACAAGTACTTTGCAGGCGAGAAGACGATCGTACGGTTTCGGCTCGTTGGGTGAGGACCTTTTATGCTATGTGTATTTAAGTTTGAGGTATCTTGCTTTGTCGGATGCGTTATTCCGCTGTTTTGCATTTGTGCATGCTTATAGTTCGACTTGAATACCCGCCCAATTAAACAACTGTAATTTTTTGACTTGACGCTTTAAGGATATCACGCACCCATAGTCGAATTCCTCGTAGCTAACAGAGGAGCGAAAGCGAAGACCACGATCACCCCTGAAATTTTGCATTGACCCGGCTAGTCCTCGTGTTGATAACGAACTCATAAAAATACAGAGATATTACATATGTACATGTTCTATGTTCTACGGCGTACAGTTGACCTCCGGGACTCCAAACCACACGGGAAGGTTCCGCCATATTCGCAGGCGCAGGCTCGCGACAATCTCACAGATCGATGCCGCACACGACGGGCATATCTGCATCTTTGGCGCCCGGTCCGGCTCGGAGATGTAGATGCGCAGGTAGGTCAGCGCACCGAGGAGGTCGTGCGTGTCCGCCGCCAATTGCCGGAGCGCGACGAGGAGCGCGTCGCACCCGGCGCGGCAGTTCTGTCCGCGTTTCGGCTCCTCGAATACCTTGGTTAGCAGAGTCGGCGAGCGGAGCTGGTCCTGGCCCCTCGCAAGGCGGAGAGGATCCGCACGGCGCGAGGAGGGACCAGCGCGCGGAGCGCGCGCCGCTCGCGAGCTTGGCGGCGATTTCGGGGCGCAGGCGCGCGGCGGAATGGTACCCATCGTAGTTGGCCACGGGGCTGATGAAGGAGAGGGAGTAGAATGCGGCGGGGAGGAGCTCGGGGATGTCAAATTCGCGCGCGAGGCTGATGATGGATGCGGGCTCGGGCAGGCGGTCGTCGAGGTATTTCTGGTCGCTCTGGCCTTGCGGCGCGGATGCGTGGGCGATGCCCAGCATCCGTACGCGGGATTCGTGTTGCTCATACACAGCAAGGGAGGTGGGCCACTCGAATTTGAGTTGGTCTATGACCTTTGCGGCCAAATCGGCAATGTCGTATTTTCTACAAAGTCGAAGCAGTCCGGCCAAGTCAGTATCAACAGTGGGCTCTGTAAACTTGAAGGGCATGCGGCTGGAAAATTCAGAAGATCAGTGAAGATATTGTGACGAATGGGATTAGGCATACTTGGGGTAGTAAAGGCATCGGAGTAGTGCTTGGAGATCCTTGACCGAATCGCCGACCTGCAACAATTGGGTATCGCGATCTTCGATGGCCTGAATACCATCAAGGTCCTCTTGTTGAACTCCAGAGGGCTCGTTGAAGATCCTCGAGAATACGGAAGAGTGAGCAGACAGCTTGTGTTTGTGAACGAGAAACTGCCACGTCTCGCCTCCCATGGTTGCAGATAGAATGATGTCGCCATCTTCAAACCAGAATGCTGGATGTGGGTGGTCCATGGTGGAAGCTCAGGTTGGGGGCAAGGGGGATAGTAAATTGGATTTTATTGTACGTGGGTTTAAACAAAGCGTTAACAATGGTGCAAACCATTGAGCAAAGCGTCGATCGAAGCGGAGACCCAAAGCCAAAGCGGCATAAGAAAGAAATGCCATAGGAGGTCGCATAGATCAGTGTTTTCAAATGCTTTTGTTGTCCAACTTGCGACGGTTTTAATCAACGTCTCAGTGAAGTTGAAAGGCCAAGGAGACGGAGGTGCGAACCAGCTAACGCCGCGGCCGGTGAATGAAAAAAGATGGCCTCGCTAAATGAAGCATGCTTGAAAGCTTGAGGATGGTGACGGTCTGACGGTTGCTGGGCAGAGGTTTTTGGCCGACCAGAGTCGGGGGAAACCGTGTCCCCATCTTTTGCTCACGAAATCGTTGCCACTGGAAAACCCAACGCTTGCCCGCGCGACTTTTGCAGCCGGATGACACTTCACCGTGCTGTTAATTGCATTATGCCAAAAGTGGAGAGAATCAGGTCGGAAGAGCTGGTCGACGGCTGCCTCGGTCTCGCTACCATTGCGCCACCGCGCGAAGGGTGGCACCACCTATTAGGATGATACGTGGTAGGCGAGAGTACAGGGGGCGACGTTACGTGAACAGTTTGGACTTATGGACGCTTTGATTCAAGTTGAAATCTGTTGAAATAGGCGGTCTCCTCACCTTGACCACACCACACCCACCCCTCCCCTCGTCAAGCCCCCCTCCTCTGCTGCCCACCACCATGTCCAGCTCTGACTACTCCCCTTTGTCGCCCTATTCCTCTTTCTTCGCATCGGGTTTCCTCCACAATGTTCACGACATGCAGCACGAACCCCCACGTTCCCCCACAGGCGATCTCGCATACTTCCCAACCGCTCCTTCATACAATAATCACTCTCTTAATACCACCTCTCGAGCAGCCCGCTCGCCCGTGCGGAAGCGCCGCTCCAGCATCACCACCGCCGCGTCCCCAATCAGTTCCATGAAGCTCGCCAAGTCTCCCGCACGCGCCGCAGGCAATGCATGGCACATAGCCAACGTTGCATCCAACTCGCCCGGCAGATCCCGCAGCGGGAGCACCAACGTCGCCAGCGAGGATAATAGCATGCTTGGCCGAATGCGGAGCGGCAGTATGGGTTCTCGGTACGTCTCCTTTATTTTCTCCGAGTTATGTTAAATAACGCTTGCGCTCTAGCATCCGTACCAAGAAACCTTTGACCAACCGCCGCCCGCTTGCGCTGCTGTTCGCGCCCACTGCCCCGCCCCCGAGTACTCCCCTTCCCGCCCTGCCTTTGTCCGCACCCGCGCGGCCACCACTCTCTCGTTTAGCTATCCAACCCGCATTGCCGGTTGCAGATGTATTTTACAAGTCCCCCGCTTCCCCCGTCCCGTCCTCCCCCTCCGCCGAATGCTACCACGCCCCCGGCGCGTGGATGGGGTTCGGCGCCATCGACGAGGAGATGAAGGAGAATTGAGGTCGCAGACGAACGAACCATTGTTGTACGATTTGATTGGTGCTTGATCCTCTGTCTTTTTATCTGTACTACTCTCTCCCATCTTGCCCCAGCAGTTGCTCGATTCCAATGCTGGCCCCCACATATAGTTCATTCCTTAATTATATATAGCCTGGCTCGATGCCGACTCTAGCTACTCAATTATCTGTCCTAGATTAATATGGCCGCGAATTGCAATGCATAACGGTCCCCCTGCTTCGTCGCGAGTTTTGTTCGTAGGACCACGTCACGTGATCAGAATCCTCTTTCCTACTCCCACCATCGTCGACGCGTCTTTCCTGGTATAACCGTCACAATGACGCGTCATCAATGTGTCCTTCCCTCTCTGAGAGTCTTTCGCGCCAGCGGCTGCAGGTCTCAAGTGCTCGGTTTCACCTAGGCGACGGCCACCTTCAACGTCCAACGGCTTCCGTCGCGAACGTATCCTACCTTCTGGCTCGCACTCGTGGAGAAGCATCGCGGTCTGGTCAAAGTCGAGAAGGAACAAGAAGAAGCGCGTCCGAAGAAGCTTGGGAAGCGGTTCGTGCCGTTTGTCTTTGCAAAGTTGTTGCCAGCGGTGCGTGTTTTTGCAGTGCCTGTTGAACATCCCGAAATCGATATCTCGGTACTTACTACAGCACTCCTCGCCCAGCGTTCGCGCTTCTAGGGTCCCTGGTTCACTTCCACCTTCTAGGGTACCTCTCCCTCACACTTCGACTTTAACGGCCGTCTAGCTCAGTTGGTTAGAGCGTCGTGCTAATAACTGTTAACGCGAAGGTCTTGGGTTCGACCCCCACGATGGCCAGGCAACTCTTTTTTGTCGCATCTACCGTGATCCTTTTATCCCCAAACGCGCTTCGAGGCCCATGATCTTTGTTTCTCGCGGAATTCAACAGATTAATTCTTATCCGAGTCTCACCTACTCGGACGATGTTTGCCCGCAATTAAAGCTCACATTGTGCACATGCAGGACATCCCCTGGCGACATGTTACACGCATTTGTAGTCCACGATGCCGAGCACCCCGTATCAAATCGTGATTCAGATCACAAATATGCAATTTTTGTTGATTCCATGTTCCTCGGTGCCTTGGGCATTTTTCTGTGGTTTGCGCCCTCATTGCCTCCAATTTGCGTCGCCATTTTGCTCTGTGGTCTGTATGGTGCGTGAGGATGCAGTTACCTGCATTCGCCCGCTACTTTTTGAGCTTGCGGCGCGTGAATCCTCGTGAATCCTCGTGCTCTCCTGCTTCTTTTTTGCAGCTCCTAACTATACGATCAGGGACCGCGGGAATTCTCTTTTGCCGCTTATGACATCAGATGATATCGATCTCAGACTATTAGGAGACTAGGAGAACTTGAAAAGCACCCGACACCATGGCGTTTCGCGGCTTTGGTGTCTTATTTGTCCCTCTTCAGTCGGTTCTGCTTTGCGACCACCATGTTGTCGCTGTCGTTATATCCCCTCACCGTTCTGGCTGTCTCCCTCGGCGCATTCGCGACTAAGATTTCCTCTGACAGCACCGTCGCGTCGGGCCGCACATTCGATTATGTGAGTCTCCTAAATCAGAGTCTAGGTCATGGATTTCTGATTGAATGTAGGTCGTTGCGGGAGCTGGGTTTGTGGTTTCTGGAACCTATTTTTGTTCGCAAACTCATCGCGTCATCCAGTTTGTCTGGAATCGTCGTCGGCACCAAGGTCCGGAGCACTCTTACGTTTTTTTTTGTTTGCCAAATATATATTTCTTTTAGTTGAGCGCCAAGGGGTACAGCGTCCTCCTCATCGAGGCAGGAAAGGACCTCCAGAACAATAGCGCCATCTATAATGCTGAACTTCGAGGCAGTAAGTCTTGCCTTCCCAAGCCCATCTCAGTTGACTTATGTGATTATAGCCCTAAACGACAACCCTGATACCGACTGCAACTGGCACTATGCGGCCAGCGATCAGAACGGTACGACCCTGCCCATTAAAATCGACAGTGGAAAGTGTGTTGGAGGAAGCTCTTCGATTGTGAGCCATTCCGCCATTTTTTGTGAGACAAGAGCTTATGCGCACTTGATGCTTTGTTTAGAATGGTATGGTTTGGTATCGGTGATTTTTCCAACCCTGTCTAAATGTCGCCTGCGTATTGACGGACGTTCTCCAGGCCAACGAGTGCAGAACTGGACGCCATCGAGGGCCTCGGAAACCCTGGTTGGAACTCCACAACTATGTTTCCCGTGAGTAGTCGTGTGGTATCTTTTTATCCGTCTGACCTCGATTCCTCCAGTACATGAAGGCGATAGAACACAACCACCCTCCTTCGGCAGCCCAAAGAGCCGACGGAGCGGATATCGTCCGGTCGTATCATGGCTTCCACGGGCCCGTCAACGTATCTTTCCCCGTTCCGATGAGAATCCCGGCCGCACAGGCTCTCTACAAGGCCGCAGTGGCCCTTGTTTTCGGCATTCCCGACAGCCCAGACCTCAGTGCCCGCACCGGTAGTGTTTCTGCGTCCACCTCATGGACGATCTGGTGGGATCCCGTGGCTCAAATCACCCGACGGGCGTCTGCTGCATATTCTCTTTTATACCCCAAGTCCAAGCAACAAGATACCCTCACTGTGTTGACTGAGCACACTGTTGCCAAAGTCCTTTTCAACAAGAAGATGGAAGCGACGGGATTGCAGTTCGGTTCGGTCACTACGGGAACGCTTTATACCGTGAAAGCCAAGTACGAGGTCATCCTTGCTGCTGGCAGTCTTGCTGTAAGCGCCTTCAAACGTTGATGTCGCAGTGTGCTGACGGAATTCCAGACGCCTCCTGTAGGACATGAAATCTTCCGAAGATGTATGGTCCTCTAACTTGTAACCACTCAGATCCTGGAGCGTTCCGGCGTAGGCAACAAATCGTCAGTTATCTTATTTTTCCAGGTTTTTCTCGATTTCTCACTTCCTTTCAGTGTCTTGGATTCCTTTGGGATCAAACAGCTTGTCGATTTGCCAGGTTTTGAGCAGTTCTAATGTTCCTTTTTTATGCTAACCTCTATCAGGTGTTGGTTTGAATCTGCAGGTTTCTATCTTTCTCCTTTGGCTTGCGTCGTTAAACTCAACTGAAATTTTAGGACCAGCCCGGTACCGGTCTTTCCGCCCTCGTCCAGACAGTAAATGCAACCAACGACCTTCTGATTGACAACGTAAATCACCCGTATTCCAAGTCATTAATCTCTCCTCATGGTATTTCTTTTGCAGCGCAACATTTTTGCGCCTGGTTAGTCGCGCGCGGTCCGCCATCTCTCTCGTACTGACCATTTCTAGTCATCTCGCTGCTCAATATTGACCAACTTTTCGGCAAACGTACGTCTTCTCCCGTCTCCCCTCATACCGCTTACCTACCCATGTTCACAGATTCAGCCAACCTGTCCGCCAAACTCCAAAAGCATATCGAAGCTCGCGCAAAGGCAGCAGTTGCCAACGGAGCAGAGGTCAACCTCAAGGGCGCCACCGAGCTGTTCACCACAGTGACGAACTTGATAACCGAGAGCAAAATGCCCATAACGGAACTCGTCTCAGAGTCGTACCCCGCAGTGATGACTTCCGTCTTTGTTTGTACCCTTCCATGCATAATTTCGCTCAACTAACGACTCTTCAGTGGCCGTTGGTGCCCTTGTCTCGTGGTTATATTCACATCAACTCTTCGGACGTGAGGAGCTTGCTCGTTACTCAGCTATCCTGAACTAAATCGGCCCGTCAGCCCTTTGCTGCTCCCAGAATTACGCCTCGCTTCCTGTCCGACGATTTTGACGTCAAGATCGCGGTTCAAATATCGAAGAAAGCTCGCTCCCTCTATCAGACTACCCCCTTTGCGCCGATTATATCTGAACTCGTCGTTGATGCGGTTGCAGCCAACGCCACGGACGCCGAATGGGCTGCTTGGTACGAGAGTACCTCATTTGTTAGTCTCATTTTCTGCGTTTCTTTCGAAAGCTAATCGATTTCAGGGTGCTTCTCACTGGGTACGCTGATATCTGCTCAACAAGTGCCATGCTTAACTTGTGCTCACCAACAGATGGGATCTTCCTCCATGCGCCCCCGCGAGTCCGGCGGTGTTGTTTCACCCACCCTCGAGTACGGCCAGCCATTTATGCCACACATCCCACTAACTGAAAGATGACATCTCAGGGTTTACGGAGTATCCAACCTGAGGATCGTCGATGCTTCCATCATGCCGTTCCAGGTTACCAGCCATTCGATGTCTTTGGTTTACGCCATAAGCCAGAAAGCTGCGGATATAATCCTGGCCTGCCGATGAATCCCTTAGCGTTATACGGACTTTCGCAGCTTTCCTAATCACGTGGCCGCGTTAAATACCACAAGTCTGCGACAGTGTGTTAATTATTATACACTATTTACTGCTGCGTGTTGCCATTATAGAAGAAATGGAGGTCGTGTCAAGCGCTGCTCTAATCATATATTATCAGGCATCCCAGTCGTCGCGGCACGCCCAGGGGTTTATGAGGCCTGCTTCGATGGAGGCAGCGCAGTAGGGCTACCGCGGCATTTTTGATTCGCCTGAGGATTCGAGTGAAGCAGAGGCTCAAAGGTGCTTGGTCTGAGAGGGTCGTCAGCTGAAACCTTCGATGGCTATTAAGCAAGTGTGCATACCATGTCTATCATGGAACTTGTCGGTCGTGTAGTGTTGGCGCGTTGGCAAGTGAGTGCTAAAAAAGAGTTGTTGAAGCGCTCAGACGAAAGGAGGAAGTTGGACAAACCTCTGGTATTGGCGCGAATGGAATGACATGGTCAAGTTTATCGTAAAGTTGTGACCTGGAGCTACAGAGTGGTCGATGGTTGGAAGCCCATTCCTTGAGCTTTTAAATCAGCATGGATGATCCTGAAAACAAAGGCACTATTGTCTCTCTCCGCTTGGATACAGAAGTACTGATTCGCGGCGTCAGATGTTGTGGGTCCACCATCATGAAGCGAGATTCAAACAAAAATCCAAACAGGACAACAAGAACGACTTTGTTCCCTTGTACTTTACCATGTCGACGCCAACGGAAGCGGCAGTAGATGTGTGTAGGGTAATGTCAAGGTCCCAGTTGATTTTCGATCAGGATGCCAGTGTCGGGTATTCATTCGCTTATGGCAACTGCGTGAACCGAGTGTTGTATACATCCAAAGCCAGTCCCCATATACGCGAGTTACATCAACACCACTCCGAGCCCCGAGATCTATCGGTCCAGAGAGAAACTTTAATCGAGTATGTAATTTTGTCAACTGAAAAAAAATGTATCAGCGTACGATAGAATTCGAAAGTCGAGCGCCTCAACGAAAGATTGGAATTAAATTATGCAGCAATCTAATCATCCTTCTTGCTGGTACCGCCTACCCGCTTCTCCGCCTCCGTGATGGCTGCGTTGTCGGTCTGGGGACCACCGGCGCCTGAGGAATTTCTGGCTTAGCACAGCCACTTTCGCTATAAAAAAAAAAACTCACCACCAAACATTCCGCCAGCAGTCTTCCAAGGCCTCTTCAAGTCACCCTCTGCCTTGTGCCCCAATAGGTGGACTTTGACGGGGACGGCCTCCCACAATCCTTTCAATCCCATAATGCCCTGCACGAACAGAGGCTGGGTGAACTTCATATAGCCGTGCAGGAAAGCCATCATCGCGATGCCCATATAGACGGAACGGAGCTGGGGAACATGAGATAAAGGACAACGCGTAAAAAAAAAAGTCGGAAACGAACAAGTTTAGACGTCTCAGAAAGGTCGTAGTCTCGTACAGTGGTTGTAACGAGTTGGCCTGGCTCTTGGGTCTGTTTCGT